AAAAAAAAGTGCAAAAGAGTTCCAAATAAATTATTAAAATAATAATTAACACATAATATCCGTACATTTCATTATTATTGTGAAAAACGCTTATACTTTTCATTTTTTGACATTTTCACCCTTAATTATATATTTGATTGCGCAAATCATTCTTTCTATCAAATTTCTCAATAAAAAACTATGAGATGACGAGTATACCCTCCTATTTAAATTTTAAAAAAAATATTTTTTTAATTACTGATTTTTAATAATTTATTTGGGACTCGTTTGCACTTTTTTAAAAAAGAATTTAATTTCTAATTTTTTAAATAATTTATTTGGGACTCGTTTGCACTTTTTTTAAAAAAAATTAATTTCTAAGTTTTTCATAATTTATTTGGACTATAGTTACCATTAGTTCTTTTTTTAATTATTTAAATATAGAGTATATTCGTCATTTCACAATTTTTTTATTGAGAAATTGGATGAAAATTTGTAGAAATAATGATTTGCGCAATGAAAAGTGAAATTAAAAATAAAAATGTCAAAAATGAATGGTATGGATGTTTTTCACAATAATAGTGAAAGTTATGAACATTATATGCTAATTACTGTTTTAATAATTTATTTGGGACCCGTCTGCACTTTTTTTAAAATTTGAGACAATGGTTGCACTTAGTTCTTTTTTTTTTTTTTTTCGTTTAAGCAAAAGAATGGTGTATTCGTTATTTCACAACTTTTAATTGAGAAATTGATGAAAATGACATTTTTCGCAATGAAATGTGAAAATAAGGTGAAAATAAAAATTAAAAAAAGAAAGAAAGGTAATGACGTTTTCTATAATAATAGTATAAGGTAATAACGTTACGTGCTAATCACTCTTAAATCAATCATTTCCTTTGTTTGGACTCTATTAAAATTAAATTTTGGGAAAATATATTTTGTAATAGTATTTTGTGAAGAATGTGTGGTTTAAAAAAAAGAAAATTTTGAATTTATATGTATTATTATTTTACTAAAAAATGTATGATTAAAAAAAAGAAAAAAATATATTTTTAATAAAATGGACCCGAACACAAGCTTAAAATCGAAGGAACTACGAATTTTACTCATAATTAAAAGATATTGAGGATAAATTATGCTAAAAAAGGATTGATGTTAAATTTGTTACCTGTACCAGAGATTGAAGATAAAATACAAAGAGTAATGCTATACGTACAGCAAATTTTTCACAGACCACGTACAGAATTTCAAAAAATCGGATGTGGCACTGCAAGATTCTTATTTCCTGACAACCACCAGGCGGCCCTTTTATCCACCCACCCAACAAACCACAACGCCACCCCTTCCCCTTTTGACAGTTTCTTTATTTATTGGCTCAAATTTCGAAGTTATTACGTGAATGTTAAACGAAGTCGA